ATAAATTATTGATTTTTAGAATCAAAATCAATCAAGTTTTTAACTTGCTCGAAATTATTAATAATAATTTCGTAATGTACCAATCGTTTTTTAAGAGTTGAAATTTCTTCCTCCTGATTTTTTACTAATTTATACAATCTTTTTATTTCCAAGTCTTTTAATTTCGGTTTGTATATTATACAATCAATATTTTTTTTTATGCACATATCACATTTTTTAGAACCTTCTACAGAGAATACACAAGTTCTGTGAATCTGACGACAAAATTCACATCGTGTTTTTTTTGTTCGTGTTTTCTCTTCGTTCATTTTTTTTTTTACAACATTTATTTAAAAATTACGTATTTTTCTCTATTTATATATATTTTACTACATTACAACATCTATTTTACAAAATAATGTATGTTTAAATTTAATCGTTTTCCCAATTTATTTCTATTTTTTTATTTTATATTTATTTTAACTGCTCTGTTCGTAAAGAAAAAAATATTTACATTTTAATAGTGATTATACAGACCTTTTATTTTGGTACTTTTACACATAATTTTTATAAATTTTATCTTTTTTTTTTTTACATTTTACATATGTTCAACATTATTTTACATTTTTTATTGCCAGATTTTTAAAGACCTCAGAGCTTAGCTAAATATTTCTTATTAAAACTATATTAAATTTATTTTTTTCGATTTTTGTTAGTTAGTGAAGTTATATTTATTTTTACCTTTAAAATTTACTCTGTAGCTGTTACAATCAAGTGTTACGTAACAGCTACAGATTAGTATAAAACTGAGAAGCGGACTACTTTGGACTGGTTTTTGTAGAGGTCAAGTTTTTCTGCGACAGACTCCTCTATTATATTCGGTATCCAAACCAAAAGGATATTTTGGAAACACAGAACGACTAGGTCGATACCAGAAGTATTCCAAACTTTAGGTATCTATACAACCGTAAAACCTACAAGGAACAATCACAGAAAAGCTTCGTTGACCCACCACTTTTTTTCGAGGAAAATTT